AAAATATGTTATAATAATAGTTCCACAAATCAGATTTGCAAAGTGTGACTGCAAAATAACAGTGTTTCTGTATTCTCTTTGATAGAGTACTTAGTAAGGCTTTAGTTGAGGGCTTTCTTCTCTAAAGAGAAGATTTCTTTCTGTTATAAATTCTTATCATGTAAACGCTATTGTACTATGGGGTAAAAAACGTTACTACAGTAAAGTCCATGTGTTCAATATTACTGGGAACATTTTTAATAATTATTGCTAAATACCGGTAATACAAACAGTTCGATTGTAAAACTCGCAAAGTAGTCATAATTTTACTTGACAGATATAACTACATGTTTAAATACAGCGCCATTCAAGGGTTTTTAGAAATCGTAGTAAAACAAAAACAAAAAAACCCATATGCGCCCTCCAACTAATTTCGACCTACAAAGGAATCATTCGTCATTTACGTACTAAGATGGGGAGCGCCTATAGAAAAATAGTCGTAGTTTATTTTTTTGCGGGAAAATGAAAACGTCATATGGATTTATCTAAAATTTATTTCAAGTTAGTTAATACAGAATTTACAATATCGCAGTAGAAAAAGATAAAATTAAACGAATTTTATGAGTGTAAATATAATTTCTTTTAAAAAGTAGTACATAGTTTCTTTATTTAAATACGGCATCATTATATTTGTTGGTAGATAAAGTCTGTGCACATCGTTTTAATATTAATTATTTACTCTAAAATTCGAAATCGTATGTGCACATCGTTTTAATATTAATTATTTACTCTAAAATTTGAAATCGTAAATATAAGTCTGGATTTTGGGATGTGATCATTTTACAAATTCAACATATCTTTGATTAATAATTCACATACATGTACGTTTACCCTGGTCCGAAACTGCGTATATTTCAAAGGAGAAAATGAATCGACATACTGATATATTTTTTCGTCTTCTTAGCCAAGTCATTGTGTTTTGATTGCAAAAAAACTTGATTGCAGTTGGCGATCATCTTCAGGCAGACACAATTATGTGCTCAGGAAAAATTTTGTGATGAAAATATATATGGAAGACGATTTTCATTTTGTTTTGAAACGTACCTTTCATGTTGAATAATCAATTGAGGATAAAATTATTATACAAAATCTAGTGTTCTTTCAATTGGTTAATGACCCTCTACACACTGCACACTAGAGTTCTGATTCCCTGGTATTTTTACGCAGCTAGTGATCTGCCCTTAAATCTAAAATCCAAATTGCGATGAATTAGTCGGTCTCGGGCCGACGTAGTCCGAAATATCTGACGTTTTCCAGGCTTTTTTCACAATTTTGATATTTTACTTGCCAGGAAAACGTCAGAACCGGCGCCATTACGAAAACTGGAAATTCGCCGCCTCCAATTGGAGGCGGCATTCTCGGGTTGATTTTCGACACTTGCGAACCGATTTAAACGCTGAATTAACAACTTAATAAAACAATGCCTTTAGTACTCACCAACATCGTTTATATGGGTTTGTTTATGTAATATACAGTCTGGTGAAAGCATTTTATCAGACGGTCGAGTTTTCTTTTCATTTCGTGCATTTTAAAATCTTGCAAGGCCTGTATCGAAATGTGGAGTGATATTTTCTTTTCATCGATTTTGGTGAGTACTAGAAGCATTGTGCTACTGATAAATTGTAAGTTCGGCATTTAATTCAGTTCTCAAGTATCGAAAATTAGCTCCGGTTGGAGACGGTGAAATTTCCAGTTTTCGTAATGGCGCCGGTTCTGACGTTTTCCTGGCACGTAAAATATTAAAATCGTGAAAAAAGCCTGGAAAACGTCAGATATTTCGGACTAGGGCCGACGGACAGACGTTAAGATTCAACATTGGGGGTGAACCACATAGAAATGAAATTTATATCACAGTCAATGTCGAGAATTTTCCAGGTGCAATTTTTATTATCAACTATTAATGTTGTGTAACATGAATTTATGTGTAACATGAATTTATATGTACAAGCTAAACCAGTTTCATTGGATTTTACCAAAGGTCCATAGGCCACAATACCTAACCAAGCCACGTCTTCTTTTTGATCAATCAAATACAATGTGTAAACTCTTTTCTAAACAAGAAGTACTTAAAAAAATATGTTTGTTTGTATGTTGTTTAACGTCCCTCTCGAGAATTTTTCACTCATATGGAGACGCCACAACTTGCCGGTGGAGAGCTGCAAATTTAGACCTATACTCGGCACTTACGGCAATTGAGCAGTGAGGGATCTTTTTCGTGTCAGCACCTACTGCGACACGGGACCTCGGTTTATACGGTCTCATCCGAAGGACCGGTCTCCACGTCCCACTCTAGAGCAGACGCTCTAATCACTGCGCCCTTTAAAAATAAAAAATCTGTACGTTCTGTAAAAAAATTTGAGCCCTTATCTGAATGGCTATCCTGTCCCCTGCTGCTATGATTTGAATAAACTTGAATCTACCCTAAATAAAGAAGCTTTTATCCACATCTGTACTTTCCTGAGCCATGAGTTCTGGGCATTAAAGGAGTATAGATGACCCCACCCAAACTTCACCATATCTTCATTATCTGCCCTTGATAAGGGAGTTATTCACTCACCTCCTTTACCCAAAGATGCTCTGTGGCAAACTTTGTTGAAATTAGCACTTATTTATAGTTAATAAAGGTAAAAAATAAATAGGTGAAAAAGGTTTCTAGTCAGACATGAAAACACAGCTACTGGCATTGGACATTGTCAATCAGAAAAACCCACTTTAGCCCTTGGCTCAGGTGAGCTGATGAAAAAATCAATACAATACTTCATGATCTAAATTATGATCATGAAAATTATTAACTATGATCAAATATACCTTTATTTTATTTGGGAAAACAATTTAAATATTAATCACTCTTTCTTAACAAATTTTACTTAAAGTATACTGTCATATAATTTTGTGCAATTTTTTGAAGCATTCTTTTTCAGATCACAAAAACATAACAAAATTCCCAATGACAATGATTACAGCAATTCTTAATAGACTATGTACAAAAAATATGGCACAAATATTTGTATTAAACAAATCATCCTAAACATCAGCAAAAATAAATCTTTCTCCATATGATATGACCTATCTTTTCTAATCTTGTGACCTACACATTTAACCCCCCCCCCCCCCCCCTTGTTTACTATAAGGAGTACTGTTGTTCAATCATGGACACACTATTCCATACTTCTACTTGAAACTTGGTCAATACACTGTTCACAATCTCTTTTAGGTAATGCCAGGATTACTATTACTTTACAAAATCCTCACAAAACTCTTAGACCAATCCTTAAATAATAAATACTACTTTCCTTAAACATTTGCCTATAATTAATAATTTTTAAACTCATCATAGAAGGTACTTCTACTGTGCTTAAAATTTAATGTTGTAAAAAATGTTTTATGTTATAAAAAAATGAATGTTGTTATAGGGCAAGCTCAAAATAGGGTAAAAAAAGACATGTTTAATGAAGAAAAAATGAACTAATGGTTGAAAACCAAATTAAATAATTAAAGAGTCAATTCTCATGATATAATATAAAAAGTGACTTCAAAACACTTTACATATGCACAATGTTATTCCATATGAATGTCCTCACTGCAGAACAAAAATTTACAGAGGCCACGGTATCCTGGCAAGAAACCAATAAGGCTAATTTTCTGTTGTATCATTAGCTTGTAAACATCACATTAATAAACAAACCAAGCGAAAAAAAAAAAAATAGATAATCCAAATACAAATTTAATAAGCTGATAGCAATAAATATCAGAACTGGCTAATAAAAAGAGCCTATCTGACAAGCAGTACTGTTTCAAAGAAAAGTGTAAGGATACTATCAAAATATAAACAGGTTAGAATTATATACTACCTGTGCATTGTATGAAACAAAGATCCAGGTGAAACCTACACACTTGAAAATATGTATTACAAACAATCAGACTGATAACACAGTACATGCAATAGTAAAATCTATATATAGAACTGATGCAATCTCACTGACAGGTAAAATACAGCAAAGCAGTGAAGTTACAGGGATTTATCATCTTTACTATATCACACAAAGCTCAAAATGGTCCAAAGTTCCATGTATCACTGCATAAAAAACTGTACAAAATAGCACATATATAAAAACAGATGTAATCATACACAAGAGTCAAAAAGTTTAGAACAAGCATATTTGTAGAAGTAGATTTAAAATCTTGCACACAAGTTTAATACATAGATAGGCATTTCCAATCAAAGCAAAGCACATTTTGATAAAGTTTCAAGCACAAAACACCTCAGAAATTATTAACATATTTTAAATCAACATTTCCAAATAATTTTTAATCAAATGATTTTTGATTGATGCTCAAAGTATTGTGCATATGAAACCCTAGTTTATAAGGTAAAATAATGTACTGATGCAGAGAACATACTTTTGAATTGCTTTAATTATAAACATTTTACAGGAGTGCTGTTGTCAAAAAAATCTTACGTGTACACATTATTTGTTTAAATCCATTTATTACCGGTCTCTAACAAAGCCAAATTCATCAACAGTGAACCCCTACAATCAACATTTAGTTGGATATATAAAAATAACATGAAGTACATATCTAGATTACTGATACAATTTACACAATCATTCACATAGCTATACATTTTAATTTACTATTATAATCAAGACTTTGAAATAATGATGATATTTTTATATTATAAAAAAAACCTCTTATGATGAAGAAACATGTTTAATCAAAAGCAGTATAGATTTTTTTGCTTCAACACAAACTGTACATTGTCATAAATGATAATAAATCTGGGAACCCATGTGCACTTAACACTTTCACAGCACTGTGTTATTCAACTTGGGAGGGGCATTCCTATGGTACACTTTTAACCCTGGTATTCAGTTAGGGGACCTATTCACTCTGTACAATATGTCTTAACTGTATATTTAGTTGAAGAAGTCACTTACTCCTGTGACTTAACTGTGTAGTCAGTTAGGGGAACCATTCATTGTGTTCATATTGCCATTTATGTTGTTCTGAGTTGAAAACATGGCACCTGCTGACTCCAGGAGCCTGGTGAAGTTGATGTCATTAAAGTCCTGATCATTCAACTCAAACACATTATCTGCATTATAATCCATTCCTGAGCCTGGTAGCTCCTGTAATTCATACTGGTCCAAATCCATCAGGGTTGTCCTGAAAACAATGTTCACAATAATTATTGACTTCAATCAGTATCACACATGTACATCTCTACAGATATAGATTAGAGTATATAGTAGTAATGGTAATGTATAGAAATACTGTTAATAGTTATATATTCTGTAGTTGGATTGGTCTTTGAAATGTACTGGTTAACGATGAAATTTTAAGAAAATCCTACCCATCAGCAGTGGTAGTGCAGACATTGCTCTGTGGGGACAGGCATGTTGCTATGGAGTCTGTCTCATTGACCTCAAGTGGCTGGGGAGTCAGGGGGTTCTCAGGGGACATGGTAAATCCATTCATACTGCAACAGAAAATGGCCATATCTAATACTCAAATTTGCTTATCATTGTATATATAACTATATTACCCTAACACTAGACAGGTGCTCTATCAATGTATAACATCACTACATTACCCTAACACTAGACAGGTGCCCTATCAATGTATAACATCACCACATTACCTTAACACTAGATAGGTGCCCTACCAATGTATAACATTACCACATTACCTTAACACTAGACAGGTGCCCTATCAATGTATAACATCACCACATTACCTAACACTAGACAGGTGCCCTATCAATGTATAATATCACCACATTACCTAACACTAGACAGGTGCCCTATCAATGTATAATATCACCACATTACCCTAACACTAGACAGGTGTCCTATCAATGTATAACATCACCACATTATCCTAACACTAAACAGGTGCCCTATCAATGTATAACATCAACACATTTCCCTAACACTAGACAGGTGCCCTATCAATGTATAACATCACCACATTACCTTCACACTAGACAGGTGCCCTATCAATGTATAACATCACTACATTACCTTAACACTAGACAGGTGCCCTATCAATGTATAACATCACCACATTACCCTAACACTAGACAGGTGCCCTGTTGATGTATAACATCACCACATTACCCTAACTCTAGATAGGTCTCCTATCAATGTATAACATCACCACATTACCTTCACACTAGACAGGTGCCCTATCAATGTATAACATCACCACATTACCTTCACACTATACAGGTGCCCTATCAATGTATAACATCACCACATTACCCTAACACTAGACAGGTGCCCTACCAATGTATAACATCACCATATTACCTTAACACTAGACAGGTGCCCTACCAAGTATAACATTACCAAATTACCTTAACACTAGACAGGTGCTCAATCAGTGTATAACATCACCAAATTACTCTAACACCAGACAGGTGACCTACCAGTATATAACATTACCAAATTACTGTAAAATAATCAATGTTCATGGATTTCGTGGGTCACCCTTACCCATAAATACACATCCCCATGAACATTTATTTTGTAAACATACTGAATTATTGATTTACTGTTAAAACAAGTAACCCACAAAATTACGTCCCCATGAACAATTAAAATTTTGCTTGCCCACAAACATTGACCCCCCATGACTTAAAATGATTCCACAGTATCGTAACATTAGATAGGTGTCCTATCAATGTATAACATCACCATACATTACCCTTACACTAGATGGGGTATCCTATCAATGTATAACATCACCACATTTTCCTAATCTGTTTTCATAACTAATGACACCTCAAAGGACCCAACAATAAATTCCACTTACTCATTCAGGTCTGTTGTATCTGGTACCATTCTCAGGTTATGTGGTATGTAGCCATCAGTCCCAATACCAGGATGGTGTGCTAAAAAAGCCATAGCTGGTTGTATTACTATAGTCAGGATAGCCATTTAGCATATATCAATTTTTTTCACCAAGAACACATTAAGTTGCTTATTGGTCTTATGGATTAACTGGATTTTGTAGGAAATGTATATGGAAAGCTCGGTGGTCTATCCAGCTTGGATTACTTCTTGTAGAAAATTTACTCCTCTGAAAAAACACTTCATTAATACTGTCCCTCAGCCCCCTCCCAAATGTAAAGGGGCACTGGGTAACTAGTCACAGACTCTTAACTGAAGAAGTGGGATATAAACTCCAGTTTTATTCGCCTTCATACAAGAAGTTATCTTATACAATTCACTAAAAGATAAGTTTGTGAAGTCTCTAGTGATTAAAAATAAACCATTATCATCAACAGTAGTAAGTATAAAATTCAAACAATTCAGGTATCCCAGGAGTAAAATCACCTGTACACTTACTTGTTTGTGTCATGAATTTGCTAAATGCGATCTGTTTTGGTATATCTGGATACAGAGTCAATAGCTGAGGCAGGTCGTTAATTCTCTCAGCTAGTCCGCGGATTTGGAAGTCCTTGCCACTGAATGGCTGCAAGTTCCAGATTTGTTTTTTACCTGTGTTACATAAAATAAAAGGTTTACAAGATAATCTTTCAAAAATTATTCTGTGTAAAGTAAAATTATAATGTACTCGGAGCTAGGTCACCCCATGAAATAACATTCAAAGAGTTTAACTTAATTATCAAAAAAAAAAAACTTTTTATGAGAAAGATGATGAATGGTTCAAACAAGTGGGACCTTTAATTCTCCTATTTATAGGTCTCACCAGTTTTATCCTCAGCTAGCCAAGCAATAGTGATTCCACCAATGAAGTTGTCACTGAATCGCAGGAGAAAAGTTCCCACGTTACATTTCTCCAGAAGTCGCTGGGAATCCAGTTTGCTGATGAATCCATTAATATATCTACAGAAAAGTATAAGGCATTTGTTTTTGTAAATTTATACAATTTTCCCCAAACTTATTAAAATGGAGAAATCCTTCATTTGATCAAAGACAGACAAATATTAAAGTTTCTTTTTTTTTTTGGTTTAAGAAAATTTGAGCAAGTTCAATAATCTTATAAATACAATGTATACAAAATAATTATGAAGGTCTAAATCAGCCCATAGATGAAAAGCTGTTTAAAAGTGAGAAATTCCTCACCCTTCCTTCCATGGACCACGCATGTGTTCCTTAGTGAGCTTCATGGCCTGATAGAACCACTCCCAGAATGTGTAATTTCTGGACTGCAGCGGGTCCTACAAAACACCCTTCATGTTGATTCTTATTTTACTGATAGTAACCCTTCTTTACAGCCCAGTTGGATGAAGTCGATAATTTGAGAGGAGGCTTTAGTATCAGGAGAGAACCCACACACTCTCATATGACCCCCCCCCCCCCCATTTAATCCAGGGAAAAAATTTAGAGATTCCATTACACTACATGTACTCAGAGATTATTTTCATTCTAAACTTCATACTAATTATTTTACAAGAGTAAAACTAGTTTTGAAGTTCCAAAAAGAAAGAAATACTGTTTAAGACATTTCAATTCTTGAGAAAAAATATGCTACCTTTTAACTTCAGAAAACAAATTTAATTCTGACAGAAAATGAGGGAATAAAACATGTTAATTTAAAAACAACTTTTACATTCTCAAATTCAGTGTTACATGTTCATGAAACTTGCTGACCAAAGTACATTTTTGAAGAACTTACTCTGTTGAATGCACTCCAGGTCACCATCTTCTGGGAAAAGTTGTCATCAATTGATCCCCCTTTATTAATGATAACATTGATTTAATTAATTTACAATATATATATATATATATATATATCTCCATTACATTGTAATACTCATCTCTATTTAATATTTTATACAGTTCACTCCTGTAAACACTCACCAAACAGCTTGGTAGCTAGATACTGCTTGTTTTCCAAAGTGAGTCCTCTCTCTGCCATGGATTTGAACTTGATGTCCAGTAACTTGACTAGATCTGGCCAGGGCACCTGGTCAGGTACAGTGAATGGCATCCTTCCCTATCAAATAATTAAGAACTAAATGTTTTGTTGCATGATAAATGACCGACATATAATTTTTACCAGTAATTATTCTCTTCTTTTTTTTCATTTTATTTCATATCCTGCTTTACCTAAAAGTATTTCAATTTTAAAAGTTCATAAAAATATGGCCTAGCTGATACTTTTCACTTTATGAAAAATGCATGTTTGAAAAAATATCGTGTCATATCCTAACAAACATTGAAAACTGAAAAGAATCATATATATTTACATTCTAACATTCAAAAACTCGGGGCATTATTTCCCCATTTGAGTTCAAAGTAGTGCCTTCTACCTTTAACATTACTCCTTCTTGGGTGAAGTTCATCAGGATGTGAACTTCAAACAAAGAAATCACATTTTATGAAAATAAACTATACTACACCTATAATAAACTTATGAATAATCAGATCTTTTAATATTTAGTATTACTGATAAATACTTATCATCAACACGAGTAAAGTATTATCACTACTGTACTTTAAAGCAATACATACTGGTTCACTAAACTGGTTATCCCATAAAACCGTTGCTACAGCATTACATTCTTGGTTGCCATGGACAGTCACAACTACAGGCAGGGAGATGGTCTACAAAAAAGGGGCAATATTATAAAAGAACTGAAAAAAAAACAAACTTTGTCTGCCAAATAACCTCTGGGTTTGTGAGAAATATATGCTTAAAATTATTTTCATAAGTTAATTCACATAAAACAATGACATAATGATTAAAATAAATGGTAAAAACAAATTTCTATCTGAGGCTTTCTCTAAAACAAGAGACTCATGAATTTAATTCTGTCCTACTCCTTCACTACCCACATATAACAATGGTCCATAATGCATGCTTCCCACATCTTTATTTGACCTTGTGTTAATTTTGCAACTTTTAACCTCACTGAACTTCTAAATATACAGTATGTACATGTATAAATGCTGAACACTCACCCAAACCTCAAACTGTAGCTCGTTTACTGTCATTCCTAAATGGAAGGAACTTTGGAACAAAATACAGAATTTCTCCTCTGTCACAGCCTAGAAATTAAATCAATAAATTGTATGACTTGTCTCAATTATTTTTCATCTTATGAAATATGGGGGAAAAAATTGTACTAAGTGTCAAAAACCAAGCTTTTAAGAAGGAACCTTTATTTCCTAGGTGCACATATTACGATGATTGCATAGTATATATATTGTCCAGTAAATATTAAATTTAAAATACTTTTTAATTTGTATTCTAAATAAATCAAAAATCCTACTTCATGTGATCAATATATTTAAGATGTGATACAAATTTCCAGGACATAAGCATCTAGAGATTTTTTTTTGGGGGGTGGGGTGGGGGGGGGGGCTTTTTTTGAATATGTGGGAATAAATACAACCATACTCTTTTAAATACTATTTCATGAAAATTAATCTGCATTTCTTCTTTGGTCCCCCATTTCATGTGTGAGGGAATAAAGGGGGGCATAATTAACACTGTAGATCACCAAATTTTCAGGGCACCTTATTTTTGCAAGTTAGTTAATTTGTATTTACAGGTGAGAAAAAAATTATGAATTTTGTTATTGTATATCACCATTAACAATACAAATATGAGTGAGAATGAAATTTTTCTGAGCAGACAGTCTCAAGTAATTTCCTGAAAATTAAGTTCTCACCAATAAAAAGTGATTTACAGTTAGTAATTTCATACAGTACTTCATTGTCTGGATTTTAAAAGTAAAAATTCACGAATTTTACTGGATGGATTTGTTTTGACCATTTCAATATATTACTGGAGAAAACTTAGCAAACTACTTTTGTTGTAAACCGAATCAGCTGTTGAGGAGAAAATGAAGTTCCCTCACCTCTGTCCCTCTCTTCTCTGCTCTTTTAATTGACTTCAGAATCTGTAAACAGCAAAATAGACCAATCAGTACAACTGTATCAACAGACCAATCAGACCATCAGTACAACTGTATCAACACACCAATCAGTATAACTGTATCAACAGACCAATCAGTACAACTGTATCAACAGACCAATCAGTATAACTGTACCAATAGACCAATCAGTACAACTGTATCAACAGACCAATCAGTACAACTGTACCAATAGACCATCAGTACACCTGTATCAACAGACCTATCAGTATAACTGTATACCAATAGACCATCAAAACAACCTTATCAACAGAGTAATCAGACCATCAGTGCAACTGTACCAATAGACCATCAGTACAACTATATCAACAGACCAATCAGACCATCAGTACAACTGTACCAACAGACCAATCAATACAACTGTATCAACAGACCAATCAGACCATCAGTACAACTGTACCAACAGACCAATCAGTACAACTGTATCAACAGACCAATCAGTACAACTGTATCAACAGACCAATCAGTATAACTGTACCAATAGACCAATCAGTACAACTGTATCAACAGACCAATCAGTACAACTGTACCAATAGACCATCAGTACACCTGTATCAACAGACCTATCAGTATAACTGTATACCAATAGACCATCAAACAACCTTATCAACAGAGTAATCAGACCATCAGTACAACTGTACCAATAGACCATCAGTACAACTGTATCAACAGACCAATCAGACCATCAGTACAACTGTACCAACAGACCAATCAGTACAACTGTATCAACAGACCAATCAGACCATCAGTACAACTGTATCAACAGACCAATCAGTACAACTGTATCAACAGACCAATCAGTACAACTGTATCAACAGACCAATCAGACCATCAGTTCAACTGTATCAACAGACCAATCAGTACAACTGTATCAACAGACCAATCAGTACAACTGTACTACACTAAAATTCTACATCAGATGAACTAAGGAGTGAAAAGTTTACTCATAATAAATATTTTAGCACTTTCCCTCAAGAAATATCATATCGGAATCCAAACTTCAGCTTCACAAGGAGAGGTTTGGACATTTGTAAGAAAATGGAGAAAAATGAAAATTTCTAATTCTGTTATATCAAACTGAATTCTGAAGACATTTTCTGAAGAGATTTTTAAAATTTAAATGCAACAAATGTCTCGAAGACAAAACAATGTAGAAGTCCTAACCATATTCCTGAACTCGATACTGAGTTCTCCTTTCTGAGGTTGGAATTCCATTGTGCCTGAGTTGTTGAGGATCTTCCCACAGTTGTTCTCTGGACGTCTATTGGGGCCCCTCAACAAAAGCTTTGCCTGGGCTTCACTGTAATAAGAACAGGATGTATATATGAATCGTGGTGACCCTGTCTGTTACCCCAGACATTTCTATAACACCCTTCTGTTAGATCCACCAATGTAATAGTTTGATATTAAACCAGTAAGAGGATAAAATACATCAACAACATACTACAGAGCTAAAAAGAAAAAGTACACTACAATAATGCGTAAAATATTTTTTGTTTTATTTCATTTTTTTTTTTACAGTCAAACAAAATCTCAATTATTCTTATAATAAATTGCTTGAAATATCTTCTTTTTTTTTGCAATGCAGCATAATTATACACTTTAAATGTATGGATAAATTTTAGCATATTCTAAATCAATCACATTTCTAAGTAATTGACTAACTAGAGTGTGAAGAAGTATTAGAACTTTTTGTAAATTTATATTCTGGCCATGAAGTTGAATTATAGTGCCGAAAATGTTAAAATACAAATCTCAGTTAAATAAGTATATATCCAGGATCTGATCAGAAGTCTCCTAACATATTTAGCTCAACTGATAATGGGGGCAGTCACAGTTGGAGGGGTCAGATGGATGGTCAGTTTGCCTGATGTACTGTGGGGCGGTCACAGTTGGAGGGGTAGGTCCTGACATATTTAGCTCAACTGATAATGGGGGCAGTCACAGTTGGAGGGGTCAGATGGATGGTCAGTTTGCCTGACATATTTAGCTCACCTGATAATGGAGGCGGTCAGAGTTGGAAGGGTCAGTCCTGACATATTGAGGCAGTTACACTTGGAGGGGTCAGGTGAATGGTTAGTTTGCCTGACATATTTAGCTCACCTGATAATGGAGGCAGTCACAGTTGGAGGGGTCAGGTGAATGGTTAGTTTGCCTCCCACCAGAAGACGAACCCGAGCACTGAATCTAGAATCTCTCTTTAAAACCTGTGGAGGCTGGTGTTCAACAATAAATGTGCTGAAATGTTTGATAAAAAATAATTTGGCATATGCGCCACTGAGATTGGTATTTATAGCAGCAAACGAAATTCAAAGAGAAAAACTATTCATCATTGATATGAGAGATGTGTAAGTTTTGGCTTAGCAGAGATCATTATATCCACAAAGGCTTGATGTTAAATATTGACATACCTTGTCACAATGGAAGACAGAATGCTGGTAATTTTGTTGTTTAGAACTGACACGTCTTCGTCTTTCCCGTTTGGCAGCTGGAGTGGAATGCTGCTACACAGTCCTTCCAGTTTAATCACCTGTTGTCTGCTCCTCCACACCAGATCCACCGTGGACTCAACCCTACCAAACATAATAATCAAGTTATAATCCACCAAGATCTGTATCCAAATATACATAGCAGAAACTCCAACCTAACAGCTAACAGCATCCTAATGATCATAATAACAACGTTAAAATCCATTAATATCTCTTTACAGTTAGTGGATTCTCCACCCTAACACTGCTGACTCCACCCATAATAGTCAAAATAACAGCTATAAGCCACCAAGATCTTTATCCAAAATGTGGATACATCACTCAAACAGTAGTGACTCCACATAACAATCATAATAAAAACATGCAGTTGTAATTCACCAAAATTTCTATCTCAATAGTGGAAACTCCATTGTAACACAATGTATAATTATAAACAGCTATAATAAAATCCAGCATGACCCCTAGAAGTGGTATGTTCACTTTAAAAGTGGCAACAACCAATGGTTGTACTATATATGTACTATATGGAACATAACTCATGACAATTTTAAGTGAATCTATTTTTTCCTATATAAAAATACTCACAAAGAAAGTGAAAATTGGATTATCAAAAAAAATAACCCATTATATGGTATTTTTGAGGGAAAGTTTATCAGTATTTTCTTTTTAGACAAAATTTAAATAAATATTGGTTACTGTGTATGTATTCTTTCATATAAATACAAACATACGTATGAAATTTTTGTGAACAGATGGTCTCAAGTAATAACATGAATATAAAGTTCCTGATGTTTAAAATTCAAATTTAAATTAATCTATCTCTGTTCTTGTAGTGCTGACTCATTAACAGTGGTAATTATCAATAAATACATCAAAATAGAGTCCCCCTCACTACACCACAATAGTTAAAGCCAGTTCACTGAGGAAATCAGAGAGAGTTATGTTACCATTTCTGTAAGTTATCCAGTAACTGAGGATCAAATGGGGCTCCGTTTCCTGCCAGCTGCTGTTGACGCTTCCATTCTATCAGCTCCTGGTCGACCACCTGATGTCTTACCTCCTCAAGAGCCTCAAAATTCTTACTCAACTTCTCAGCAATCTCCTATAAATACAGGTATATACTGGCACATTAATGATTTAAGAAGCAATTTCTTTTCTATTTTTGGGCAATAATTTTGGTCCTGCACTTAATATGATCAACAAGGAATGTATCAAAATTTGTAGAATTGACATTTTTAAATGAAGTACTTTGAAAGTGTATTGTACTGTTCAAGGGTTTCCTGTGTAAACAAAAAATTCTGCAAAAATCTTATTTTACATGTAGCTTTCTACTATATGTACATGTATGTAAAAAAGGCAAGATTTCTGATTAGCAAATATATGTATCAAGATACTGCTTCCTATCATTGAAAAGGTATCACTATCCTGTCAATATCAACAACATTATGTAAATTATTGTAAGATAAAACTTAATAGTAAAAGTGAAGGATTGCTTACTTACATAAAATACTAACACTTCATGCATATAAAATAAAATATGTTACAAAACAAGAGGATTTCATGGTCTACTGAGTATCTAGATAGACTTCCTGTCTACAGTAGCTACATTTATGTCGCATGCTTTGTTTCTCATGTTAAAACTTAAAATTCAGTACATGTTCTTTCCAATAATCAGGCAATCAGTAAGAGCGTACAATATCATTTTTTTCAGTTTTGGTCTTACTCCTTAGCTGCTCCTTGATGGGGGTGACACTGACAATAAATTCATTAATTTGGTCCCCTTTTTGCTTATTCTGCTACGTTTATCACTTTTAAATTGTTAGAATGGATTCCTTAGTTGTAGAATCATAAACTTTTTAAAACTTCACAAAATTGCAAGTTGTATTGAGAAAAATAAATATGAATTACACGGTACACAAGAGCATCTCAGTGACTCTTGTGATATTAAAAATCTCATTTAAGAATTCACTGAATATTTTGACTTCTTAAGCGTGTACGTACCACTCTGGCATTGATGAGCGTTTGAGCTCCCTTAGCTAACACAGATTCAAAGTCCTTTTTCTGCTTTTCCAGATTTTTTCTCATCTCTGTCACTCGCTGAATTTCCTCTGGTGACAGGGTAGCTAGGTATTTCTCTGAACATGTCTGATTTAATCGACCTTAAATTTGATGACGTAACATAATTATATTTTGAAAAAGAATTCAATTCATACTAAGTTTATATGCCAGTCTATGCACTCACTGTTGATCTGAAGCTGTTTTTGGTAGTTAATTGTAAACACTTCCTGTTTATCTGTTAGCTCTTTGACCATCCTCTCCGACTCCTACAAAATCCAAACAAAATGAGTCCCAATGTAGCAAAGTTCAAAAAATCAAACTTTGTATTTATAATATCTTTAAGCATCTCCTCTTAGCATGAATCTAAGGGGACGGAGGTGAGTTGTGTGCCAATCGTTTTATACCCAAAATATCTTTACAATCCCCTCCCCCTTTAAACAATAAATTTGAATGATTAGTTTCAGCCATAGCATCTTGAACCCCCTCCCCATAAGCATTAAGCTGGAGAGTGGTATCAAGAATACACAGGCAAATGTAATACATTTACAGTAGCAGCCAAGCTGGTTCAATATTTCCAATCTCAAAATATTATTCTCCCCTAATACACCTGGGCATGAAAATTACATTTACTCTATTACATTTAATGTAAAAAATTATATTTGTTCCAAAATGATATTTAAGTCAGTGAACAAAAAATATTTGGGGATAATGCTGAACATCTTCACAAAAAGATAAAAAGGATTTATATTCAATTTCCTCAATCTAAATTGATGTGGCCAAAGTAAAATTCTTTATTTTCAGGTCACAACTTCTCTCTGTGAAGTACATTTAAGAGATGCACACTGTGTAATGTTTAATCAAAGAGTCATGTTATATCCACCTTGTCGTTGTTTAGCAAGCGTAAATCTGATTTAAAACACAGCTTTTATCTGTGATCTCGTAGTCCCAGTGTCACTTTCGTCTACCAGGTAATGTCACAATATTCTCTCGTAATTGTTATTTTACTGCAAAGGCTGATTTTTTAAATTTTTTTCTTCATATAAATCACATTTACCCTACATATCCATAAACTGTGAAAAAATTTCCACTTTTCTGCAGATATCTAACAAATCAATACACCTGATAAGATATCAGCTAGAGTACACCTGATCAAATGATGTCAATAACCCATTAAGTTCTTTCTCAGAAATATTTGTGACCTTTTGATACATATACTTACAGATACTTGCACTCCAACACTTTCAATCTTGGACATGATGAGTTTATCTTTGTCAAAACCAGGCATTGGAACTGTTGTAGGCTAGCGGAAGAGATAATCAGAAACAATGCACTTCTTTGAAATATATACCTTTGTAAATATTAAAATTGATCAATTATAGCTAGAAAAAATTTGATAAGCATCCTCTGACAAAATCCATTACATGTATTTTAATCACTCTAAAGCTTCATGGAATTTTTATTGGTACACATGAATAAACTTTTGTTAACAATGAATGAACTCATATCCTTAAAACAATTACTATCCCAAAGATTTTTATCTGCTAGTTTCACATCTACCATATCTGATGTTTAAAATGATATAGAATTATGTATTTTGATGTAGCCTTCTTGACTTGTAATTTCTTTTTTAAATCAGTCTAAACTGTACATACTCGGAGTAAATAATTTGAAATAATTTCACAGATCAAATTCTTCACGGACATTTTTAACTTGTTCAGGGCCGATTCAAAAACCCAAAGCTCACTTAAACACATAGGTCCAAGTCCCAGTGCATATAGTCATTAAAGTTAGTCTGAGTCACCCTTCATTTAACTTGATGGTAATATGGACCTTCATGCTAAGTTAACCAGTTAACTTTCCATTTATTAAGTAACTGGTATATGTGCAACTCATGGTAAGTTAAAACAATTAAGCACAACACAGCATTTCTATTCCTCTGATATTAAAGTAAAAATTGACATTCTCTGCCACTGAATCATCCCTTAAAATATAGAACAAAGCTTAATTATATAATGAATTTAAAATTTATGTCATGCAGTTGCATGTAAAATGATCTGGCAGTGTATGGCACCTAGGAGGAATAGAAACTGCATAATGCTTTGTGTTCCTTCATTGATGTGTTAGTCAATAACTTACACAATTTACATAAAATTCTTATTCTAATTTAGGAATCATTATTTATTAATGAATTGATATTATTACCAAGTTAATATAGTTTGATATCTAAAGCATCTGCAATAAATTGGTCCCAGAATGATTTCAATGATCCACTCTGTATAACTTAGTCTTATTTTTGTTATGAAGAATTCTTGCCTTCAAGGTTTATAAATGCAATAAAAATTTTACAGTGGAAATAATGGATCTTTTTTAAAAATTCAAGGATAACTCACCGATGCATCAGGCTGAAATATAAAAAAATGTAAATTTTATATATCTCCAATTTGACTGATATTTCAGAGATTTAATACTAAGCATGTCTAGATGGCAACTAGCACGTGTCAAGCTTTCTTTATTTCATTGTATAAAACTCCTCACACGAACACTTCAGATTTTACATTAATTCTAATGATAAGTTATACTGTCTTATATCCCAAATCTCACACAGTGCAAGTTCTCAACCATTTCTATACTCTGTGAAATCATACATATATTTTCAGTTTATTTTCCCCCAACTTATTGAGTATACTTATATTCTTATACACTATATCATATGGCATGAATGAATTCTTTAAAATTCATACAAATATTCATAAGAGATCTACATTATCCTGTATTAGAGATCTTAAGTTATCAAGTAATAGAGATCTTAAGTTAACAAGTATTGGAGATCTTATGGTATCCGGTATTGGGGAGATTTCATAATCCTGCATAAGTGATCTGAAGTTATCTTGTATAAGAAATCTTAAGTTTTCCTGTTTTGAGAGATCTTACATGACTCTGTATAAATAGAGATCTTATGGGATCATGTACTAGAGGTCTTGATCCTGTATTAGAGATCTTATGTTCCTGTATAGATCTTACATGGTCCTGTATTTGAGATCTTTTATTTGATCCTCTATTTAAGATATATCAAATTATCCTGTATTACAGATGTATCCCAGATCTTACGTTTTCATGTTGACGGACCAAAGCTTCCTCTGTTGCCAGGTTCCTCTTGATCGTACGTACGAGTTCCAGCGGACTCTGGGAGTACTGCGACTGTAACATAAACAAGACAGAAATAACAATATCAGGAAAAAGGACAGGTCATAGACTTCATAGGCTAGCTCAAAATAGAAACAGTCAAACCTTGAAACAGGAATATATCACAAGCCAAACTGAATAGCAAAAAATGAGACAAATAGCTAAAACTTGATAAAGAACACATCACTTTGCTAATAGTTAAAAAGAAATGTTTGAGAAACATATATGCTCCAAAGTGCAATTTTAAAAAAGGGAACAATTTTGAATTTAGAATATCTGTAACGATAGTGGAAACAATCATCTAGTCATGCAAGGACAAACATAATACTAAGATTGATCTCTATCACACCTTCATATCATAAGGAGTGCCACTAATTTACTTCTTAGAAGGTACCAGTGTACAAATTAATGTCTGTAAAGCAAATGGTACTAAAAATACTGAGCTGACAATATTTTTTTATGTCTAGTGTCTATGTCTTTGTCGTGTGACTGTTGTTCTTTGACCTTGTGACTGCAAAATCAGTAGGGGGCATCTACTCCCTTGGGGTAACCAGTTTACCAAGTTTGATGCCTGTCATACAGAGTTCTCAAGATGTCAAGCAGTCATTATTTTCCTATGTCAAATTTAAACCTTGACTTTTGATCTTGTGACCTCAAAATCATTAGGGATCATCTACTCTTTAGGGGGAACAACATACCAAATTTGATGTCTGCCATGCAAAGTGCTTTCAAAATATAAAGCAGACAAAATCTTCTTTTGTTTAGAGTAGTTTGCACCTTGGTATTTGACCTTTTGACCTCCAAAATCTACAGTGGTCAACTACTCCCTTAGGGAAACCAGTGAACCAAGTTTGAGGTTTGTCAAGGACAGGGATCTCAAGATATTGAGTGGCCAATATTTTCCTACATCCAGTTTGATCCTTAACATTTGATCTTTTGACCTCAAAATTAATAGGGGTCATCTACTCCTTAAGAGAAACCAGTTTACCGAGGCCCATGTGTGTCAAGCAAAAGGTTCTCAAGATACTGAGCAGTCAGTACCTTCTATCTTCCTATGTCCAGATTGACCCTTGACCTTTGATCTTGTGACCTGAAAATCTATAGGGGTCATCTATTCCTTAAACGAAATAAGAGCACCAACTTAATCTCTGTCTAGCAAAGGGTTCTCAAGATATTGAGCAGACAATATATTCCTAAGTCCAGTTTGACCCCTTACCTTAAAATCTACTGGGGTCTCTACTCCTCAATGGAAAACAGTGTACCAAGCTTTATGTCTGTCAAAGTTCTCAAGATAAATAGTGGTCAATATATTCCTATGTCCAGTTTGACCCTTGACCTTTTGACTTTGTAACCTCAAATTCAATAAGGGTCATCTAATCTTTAAGGGGAGTCAATGAACCAAGTTTGATGTCTGTCAAGCAAATGGTTCTCATGATATTGAGGTGCAAAGCAACATGCCCTCACATTAAAATTTCAACACCTTAGTAAAACTAACTATCATTTCATAAAGCATAAAGCACTTAAATCATATCCAAAACTAAATTTATCATTTCATATTCACATTTTCAAATGTCTTTGTTTGAGATAAAACTATACATAATATAAAGCCATTTGCTCATCACACAGCACTACATTCTCATTGTGTGTGTGGCAAGTAACACACTGGGTGGAGCTTGCAGAGTTCAATTTCTAATTAATTATTGAACAGTTTTCTCACATGATAATTTAATGCATAAACCCTTCAGCATTTATGCAAATTATCTTTTGAACAAACTCTTTGATCAACTTACAGAACAAAAAAAAAAAAACTAGACCATTATTCCTTAAATATAAACAAGGAAATATTTTTATTTGTTTGTTTATATGGGAATAAACAGTTGCAATTATGCTTACACTGGTTATACATGTATATTAATCTGGACTACCGGAAGTATGAGCAAAACTTTGATCCCATATTGTGGCTCCACCCTACCCAGGGAGACTATGATTTGAGCTTGAATCTACACCATTTCAGAAAGCTTTCATGCAAGTTTCATCTTTTCTGACCCATTGGATCTTTAAAAGATTTTAAATGATTTATCCTACAGCATTTTTTTCTTGATTATCTCCCAATGAAAGAGGACATGACCATTCATATGAACAAATTAGAAACCCCTTTTCCCAAGGATACTTTGTTTTTAGTTTGGTTGAAATTGGCCCAGTGATTCTGGAGAAGAAGATGAAAATGTAATAAGTTTACCACGACAGACAATTGACAAATTTTGATCACAAAAGATCACTTGGGCATTTGGCTTAGGTGGGCCAAAAAGCATGTTATGCTCTGCCTTATATCTAACCTACCCTAAACTGATTTGCCACTTCCTGAAACTTGAGCTTGAGTAAGAAGTACTCATTCTGCTGTGGAAGTTCTGCAGATTTGTTTTCTATTTCTTCTATGAGTTTGTTCAGAAGCTGCTCTGCAAACAGCTGGTCTCGCTGTGTAGGATTGCTCTCATCAATCTGTCCCCTAAAAATAAGTAATAAAACTGATTGAAATGAGATGTTATCAAATCATAAAGGAGGAAATGACCTTAGGGAATGACTGTTTCAAATTTTTCCATTTCATCTTTCTTAATCACACAGTAAATAAATAAAATCTAATGACGACTTTTCTCTTCAAAGCAGTTTGTATATGACAGCTGTTGTAAAAGTATGATTGCTAATGCATAATAATACAATAAACAAATCAACCTTCACTGATCATAAATATCATTTAATTGGAAAAATGTTGATCAAATTAACGAATTGTTGATAAATCAAAAATGGGAGTCACTTTGGCTGATTTTCATTTGATTTATGCTTACTTATGAATTAAAACTCCTATCTTCTGACATATCATAAAACAATATTTATTGTCAATTGATATCAATACTTAAATTCTCAGAGATGACAGTCTTCACAGTTAAGTCAAAATAAGGACCCTGTGGACTGTATAACAGAATGTTGGGACATGATAAGCAGACTTGACTGTAAAACAGAATGTTGGACATGATGAGCAGATTTGACTGTATCTTTTACAATAATGGACATGATAAGCAGATTTGACTGTATACTAGATAAAAAGCTTTAACTGTAGAACAGAATGTTAGACATGATAAGTAGATTTGACTGTATACTAGATAAAAAGCTTTGACTGTAGAACAAAATGTTAGACATGATAAGCAGATTTGACTTTATACTAGATAAAAAGCTATAACTGTAGAACAGAATGTTGGGACATGATAAGCAGATTTGACTGTATACTAGATAAAAAGCTTTAACTGTAGAACAGAATGTTGGGGCATGATAAGCAGATTTGACTGTATCTTTAACAATAATGGACATGATAAGCAGATTTGACTGTATACTAGATAAAAAGCTATAACTGTAGAACAGAATGTTGGGACATGATAAGCAGATTTGACTGTATACTAGATAAAAAGCTATAACTGTAGAACAGAATGTTGGGGCATGATAAGCAGGTTTGACTGTATCCTTTACAATAATAGACATGATAAGCAGATTTGACTGTATACTAGATAAAAAGCTTTAACTGTAGAACAGAATGTTAGACATGATAAGCAGATTTGACTGTATCTTTTACAATTATAGGCATGAAAAGAAGAGTTGACTGTATACTAGATAAAAAGCTCTATCTGTAAAACAGAATGTTAGACATGATAAGCAGATTTAACTGTATCTTTTACAATAATGGACATGATAAGCAGATTTGATTGTATCTTTTACAATAATGGGCATGATAAGCAGATTTGACTGTCCTGGAAAGGTTTGTATTACCATGGCTGTTCCTCTATCCAGTCAGCAAAGTAATGCCGAACCTCAATTGGGATCTGTGAACTCTCATACAAACTTGATACATGTTTGAGGAGTTCTTGGGGCAACAACTGGGTCTTTGCCCAAATTGACATTCCTTGACTCTGAAAATAAAGAATGAGAGTCACAATGAGAATTGGAATTGAGTAAACTGAATATGGGAAAAATACTTTACTGTGATTAGGAAATTAAGTTCCTAAGTTTACTAAACTAAGACAACAAAGTTTTAAATATTTACCCATGATTCATTTGACAAACTCTTATAGAATACATACCTCACCCTACCCTAAGGGGCCATGATTTGCACAAACTTAAATCTGCACTACCTGGGGCTGCTTGGATATATTTTTCAGTAATCATGACATAGCTGTCCTTGAAAAGAAGACTTTGAAATATTTCCCCCTACATATTCCAATGTAAAATTTTGATCCCCTACTGTGAACCACCCTACTCCCAGGGGTTACAATTTGAAAAACAAGAGGCCCAAGGGCCACATCGCTCACCTGAGTTTAGTATTGAAAAGCTTAAATGCATAAGTGGTCCCAACCTACCCCTAAAAAGGGAGTAGGGAGGGGGGGGGTCATGATTTTAACAAACTTGAATCTACACTATATGAGGATGCTTCCGTATAAATATGACAAACCGTGGCTCTGCTGTTCTTGAGATTTTTAAAGATTTTTCCTATATATTCCTATGTAAAACTTTGATCATTCATTGTGGCCCCGCCCTACCCCCGGGGGTCATGATTTGAACAAATTTGAATCTACACCACCTGAGGATGCTTCCATATAAATATGACCAATCATAGCTTTGCTGTTCTTGAGAAGAAGATTTTTGAAGATTTTTCCTATGTACACCTATGTTAAACATTGATCGTCCATTGTGGCCCCACCCTACCCCCGGGGGTCATGATTTGAACAAACTTGAATCTACACCACCTGAGGATGCTTCCATATAAATATGACCGATCATAGCTTTGCTGTTCTTGAGAAGAAGATTTTTGAAGATTTTTCCTATATATTCCAGACCTATGTAAAACTTTGATCGTCCAATGTGGCCCCACCCTACCCCCGGGGGTCATGATTTGAACAAACTTGAATCTACACCACCTGTGGATGCTTCCAAATAAATATGACCAATCATAGCTTTGCTGTTCTTGAGAAGAAGATTTTTGAAGATTTTTCCTATATATTCCTATGTAAAACTTTGATCGTCCATTGTGGCCCCACCCTATCCCCGGGGGTCATGATTTGAACAAACTTGAATCTACACTACCTGACAATAATTCCACATGAGTTTCATCTTTCCTGGCCCACTGGTTCTTGAGAAGAAGATTTTTCAATAATGCCATTAATTTTTTGCTATTTCGTAATTATCTCCCCTTGGAGGAGGGCGTGGCCCTTCATTTGAACAAACTTGAAACCCCTTCACCCAAGGATACTTTGTGCCAAGTTTGATTGAAATTGGCCCAGTAGTTCTGGAGAAGAAGATGAAAATGTGAAAAGTTTACGACAACAACGACGCTGACGCCGCCGCCGACGACAGACAACGGACAAATTTTGATCAGAAAAGCTCACTTGAGCCTTCGGCTCAGGTGAGCTAAAAATATGAAAATGCACTACCTGAGCACTGTTTTACATTAATATGACTGATCATGGCCCTGCTGCTACTGAAAAGACTTTAACAATTTTTTTCCTATATATTCCCTTGTAAACTTGGATCTCCTTTTGTGGCCCCACCTTACCCCAGGGGGCCATGATTTGAACAACCTTGAATCTACATTAAGTCAGAAAGCACTCACTTAAGTTTCATCTATTCTGGAGCCTATGATAAATTACATAAGCCTTTAGCTTGGAGCCTCTCATGCAAGAAATATCACATCCTCCAAGATAAGTTATTTCTTCATAGACACCAAAACAAGTTAGATACTTATTCCTTATGGTTGAACTTCATTTTCTCAATGTCTTGAATTCCATGGTTATTTCAAAGTGAGTTGGAATTTTTCTTAAGGTATTTTTTACCTCGCTATCTCATATCCTCAGATATCTCAATGTTTTCCTTGGCCCCACTGAGTTTCAGATAACAAAGTTTGACTGTATTAACATTTTAAAACATTCCTTTGTTCTGTTCCCACTTGTTGTGACCTCCCTTTTAAGTATGAGTCATGCTGTTGACATCATGTGATCTCAATTAATAGATGCATAAATCTCAATATAGTATGTAGCAGGACTATTTTTGACAAAATGTGTAAGCAATTACACTATAAAAAAAAACATCATGTCAGTGAAGTAATATTTCTGAATTACATCTCAAAAATTCTTCAGTCTGAGTTAAATTACGTATTTATTTTTTATTAATATCCTAACTCTAGGAAAATTGTTTGCAAATACTTGTAACATTAAAAAAAAAACAAAAACAAAAACAAAGTGCAACAAAAAGGTGCTTCCTGATCTGAACAGAGTTCAACTATTGTCACATGTTCTCCAAACAGAGCATTCTTGTCATCTAGTACAAAACACTGATGTCCCTATTGTGGAGGCATTCAGGCAAAAACTCATAACAATTTAAAAATACAAAACAAATTTCTCTCCTTCAGGTTCATTCAGTAAGAAATATTACATTTATCAAAGACATGTCTTTTTTTCAAACCATAGATCTCTGACAAGACTGTAGCTCCACTGGTTTGTACTTATAACAAAGGAAGAAAAAAATCGCACTTTGACTTGAAACTTTGCAAGAGCAATATATAGAATAATGATCCTTGGTGTAGTCTTTTTGTGGAAAGATTATTGCAATCAGACTAAAACTGTTAGAGGAATTTTACAGAAATTTCTATTTTTAGAAACTATGGCAACATCTTTCATCAAAATCAAAAAACGATAAAGACAATTAAGGAGGCTGGGGGGTCAACAAATTAACCACAAATTAACCACCAGATTTAACTTAATTTTTTAGATATGATATCTTAAGCTGTCAGCTATCATTTGGCAAAGAAAAATTTCAAAAATTTTAGTTTGAAAATTTGATCATTTTCTATATCTTCATATGGAGCTCTTCTTCTATAGGAGATCAATATAGTCTAAAAATGGCCACAACCCCCCAGCCTCTTTAATCTACTTGTGTGCTAAGTATATAGAAATCAGACCAGAACTGTAGGAGGAGTAGCGTTTTCAATGTTTTCACAAAAATTTCTATTTAGTAACCATGGCAACACTGTTCATTGAAATCAAAATCTAATATATAGCATTTTGTATCTTAGTGTAGTCCTCTTGTGTCAAGTTTTATTGAAATCAGACCAAAAATGTAGGAGGAGTAGGCTTTTGAAAGTTTTTCACTAAAATTTCTATTTTTAGTAACCATGGCAACACCATTCATCGAAATCAAAAACTGATTAAAAAAAAATAATGTATCTTTGTGTAGTCTACTTGTGGGCCAAGTTATAATGAAATCAGACCAAACCTTTAGGAGGATTAACCTTCTGAAATTATTTCACATAAATTTCTATTTTTAGTAATTAAGGCAACACCGTTCATGGAAATCAAAAACCAGTAAAAAGAATTAAGTATCTTAGTATAGCCTAATTGTGTGCTAAGCTATATTGAAATCAAACCAAAAATATAGGAGTAGCCTTTTGAAAGTATTTCACATAAATTTCTATTTTTAGTAACCATGGCAACATTGTTCATGGAAATCAAAAACCAATAAAAAGAATTAAGTATCTTAGTATAGCCTACTTGTGTGCTAAGTTATATTGAAATCAGACCAAAACTGTAGGAGGAGTAGGTGTTTGAAAGTATTTCTTTAATTTTCTATTTTTAATAACCATTGTCAACACCACTCATGGAAACCCAAAACTGATAAAAGAATTATTATCTTAGTATAGCCTATTTGTGTGCTAAGTTATTTTGAAATCAGGCCAAAACTGTAGGAGGAGTAGGCTTTTGAAGGTATTTCACTTAAATTTCTATTTTTAGTAACCATGGCAACACTGTTCAAGGAAATCAAAACCCAATAAATAGAATTATGTATCTTAGTATAGTCTACTTGTGTCCCAAGTTATATTGAATTCAGACCAAAACTGTAGGAGGAATAGCATTTTGAAAAATTGTATACAGACAGACTAAGACAGACAGACAGATGACTTACACCTTACTATCACAGCTCTTTTGGTCTCTGACCAGAAGAGCTAAAAACAAAACACAAAAAAAAAAAAAAGAGGAAGTTGAGAAATTAAGAAATGATGTGTTAAACTGTAACAGGAAACATCACTGATGAGCATCTTACACATCACAGAAAAAAAGTATAGATTTGAAATCTGATTGCAAACATGATAAACAGGACTCTCATCCGACAGACCTATTGACACATTTGATTTGGGGGACTTAAAGCTCTTATTGGATCAAACTGAGGGAATTTTAAAAGGAGGAAAAGCACTTAGGTTTTATTTGGTTGGGATGTGCCACTTGAACAGCATAACTACATGGTATCTGCAACAAAATTACCAGAATATTAACAGTTTTAATAGTTATATTTTTAGCAGTTTCAATGTATAACAAGTACCGGTAAATTCAAAGAATTTTGGTTCCTCACTTTTGATGTCTTATTCGTTCGGATGCAGTTATTTATGGCATATTGTAACTGACTTGTCTCTAGCACTTTGAGGTTAAGTCTCGGGGTCAAAAACCATAGTACCTGGTACATTCAGAAAGGTCTTGTAACAGGTAATGCAAATGTGAAAGATGAATGCCCTATCTTCTCTCATTCAAAAGTTATCACCAATGTTACATATTTTATAAAGTTGGTCAAACTTCAAAGTGAAAAAAATCATAGTATATTTGAAAAGGTTCTGTCATAGGTAATACATATCTTAAATATGAAAGCCCTATCTTTTCTCATTCAAAAGTTATGACCAAAAGTTTTTTGTGACAGACAGACTGACAGACACACAGACAGATAGAATGCCAAGCCAATGAGATTTAAAGTCCCTTACTATAGCAAAAGCAGGGGACAACTAAATTAAGTGTAAGACATCCAGTTAGAGAAATTCATAATTGAATTCCTTTAATCTCCATATTTCACTTTAAACTTTCATTTGCTTTCAATA